CATTTAACTCTATTTTTAAAAATAAGTTGTGTTGTGTATATTTAAGGTATACAATATGATGTTATGGAATACATATAAATAGTAAAAAGGTTACTATAGTGAAACAAGCTAACATTCCATCATCACACAAAGTTACCCATTCTTTTTTGTTTTTGTGGCAAAAGCAGCTAAAATCCGCTCATTTAGCATGAGTCCCAAATACAGTACAGTTTTATTTATACGGTCTTCTTCATATTATAGGTTAGATCTCTAGACTTGTTCAACCTCTATCTTCTATCTTCTACTTTGTATCCTCTGACCTAGATCTCCCCATTCCTTACCCCCTCCTCCTACTTGTGTTTGAAATTGTTTTTAGATACCACATATGTTTTCCATGCAATATTTTTCTTTCTGCATCTGGCCTATTTCATTTAGCTTAATGTCCATGGTTCATCCACATTGTTGCAAATGGCAAGATCTTATTGTTTTTTAGGGCTGAGTAATATTCCATGATGTCACACACACACACACACACACACACACACCCTATAGTTTCTTTATCCATTATTTCTTTGACAAATACTTAGTTTGTTTCCTTATCTTGGCTATTGCAAATAATGCTGCAATGGACATGAGAGCACACATTCATGGGAGTGTATCTTTACAAGGTGGCAATCTCATTTCCTTTGAGTATACGCTGTCTGACAAGTTCACAAACCTCCTAGAAAAAGTGCTACATATCTCATTGCTGAATATCACTACAGTCATCTCTAAAGTACTCCTCTTGGGAAGCTATGCAGAGGCCAGTGCCTTGTCCACCCTTCAAAGCAGTTTTGGAACTCTTTCTGGAATGACCATCGGAGCTGTCATTGTATGGCACACAAAAACATGCAACAATAATGAATACCACTCAGCAAGACATCACCACACATTACAATGAACCCAGCCATGAGACACTACTATAGTGAAGTTATGAAACCTTACTGAGTTGTTTGCACAGTGCTGCCCACATAAGCACTCAGTAGCAAGTTCGTGAACTTAATTGTCATACCTCATATGATGACAGCTCTGATGGTCATTCCAGAAAAAGAGTTCCAAGATTGTTTTGAAGGGTGGATGGACTAGGCTCTGGCATCAGTGCATAGCTTCCCAAGGGGAGTCAGAGTACTTTGAAGGTGACTGTAGTTATAGTCAGCAGTGAGGTATAGAGCACTTTTTCTAGGAAGAGTTTGTGACTTGTGTGCCCTGAAGAGGAATTTCTGGGTCAGGTGGTAGTAATTTTTACTTTCTGCTGAGATGGCTGTACCCATCTACATTCCTACCAACAGCGTACTGTTGGCATGCCCTCCCTCCTTCCTAACAAGTGTTATCTTTTGACTTTTTTTTTTTTATTGTTTGGGATTCATTAAGGGTACAAAGAAAGGTTACACTGATTGCATTTGTTAGATAAAATCCCTCTTATTATAGTGTTCCGCCCCCAAGAGGGGTGCCATATACTGTATCTTTTGGCTTTTTAATAATGGTCATCCTAATGGGTGTGAGGTGGTTTTGATTTGTAGTTCCCTGTTGATTAATGATGGTGAGCACCTTTTCATATAGTTGTTGGCCATTTTTCTTCTTTAGAGAAATGTCTGTCTATTCAGGTCTTTTGTCTTTTTTTTTTAGTCGGGTTGCTTGTTTTTCTGCTATGGAGTTATCTGAGTTGTTTATGAATTTTACATATCTTATCAGATATGTGCTTTGTAAATATTTTTTTCCCAATCCATGGGCTGCTATTTCTTTTTTTTTTTTATTGTTTTCTTTGATGTGCAGAAGTTTTTTACCTTGATATAGTTCTATTACTTTATTTTTGCTTTTGTGGCCTGAGTTTTTGGTGTGTTATCTAAGAAATTATTGCTAGGGCCACTATCCAGGAGTTTTGCTAGCTGGAAGAGCTGGTGTACCCTCATTACTTTTTTCTCAGAATTCTTATTTGTCTCGCTTAATTTTATCTTTTTCTTGAGCATTAATATCATTTTGTCAAGTTAAGAAAATTATATATTGATCAATTTAGGGAACATTGAGATCTTTACAATATTAAGTCTTCCTATCCAAGATAATATGTCTTTTTAACATTATTTTTACTTTGCTATGTGGTTTAAATATTTTTTAAAATGTAGCTCTTATTAGTTTACTAAATGATACCTTTCATTTATTCTTACTAATTATTATTGTTCTGACTCACAATTATTTGTATAAAGTTGTTTTATATTTTAATCTTTTCACTTTATTGAATTTTATTTTACTACTTTTAATACTTTGTTATTTGGTCCTCATGGATATTCTACGTATATACTTATCAATTACAAATAATAGTAATTTTGGTGTTTTAAAAATTATGTCTTATGTAACTGGGTTGGCCACAAGCCCTAAAACACTGTGAAATAAGATTAGTTATAATCAATACTTTTTTCATGTTCCTAACTTTAGTGGGAATGCTTCTATTTCTTGACCGTATAATATTAGCTTTCATTTTTATGCATATAAAATTATGGCCTAGTAACACTGGTCTGTCCTATTTTACTAATTAATTTTTTTTTTCTTTTTGAGACAGAGTCTCACTTTGTTGTCCTTGATAGAGTGCCCAGGCATCATAGTTCACAGCAACCTCAAACTCTTGGGCTCAAACAATTCTCTTGCCTCAGCCTCCCGAGTAGCTGAGACTATTGGTGCCCACTACAACGCCCGGCTATTTTTAGAGATAGGATCTCACTCTTGCTCAGGCTGGTCTAGAACCCATGAGCTCAGGCAAACCCACTCACCTTGGCCTCCCAGAGTGCTGGGATTACAGGTGTGAGCCACCTTGAGGCCGTATTTTACTATTTAATTTAATAATTAAAAATGGATGTTGATTATTATTGTTCTAGCCCTATTGCCTAAGATTTCCAGGCCCATACCTGAAAAATAACAACATTAGGTTTATAGACCATTGCAATGAGACAGACCACATCCCAGAAGAATCATGGAGATAGCTTATCCAACAAAGAACAATAGGAAGTTATCATAGAATTTAGATAAAGGAAGAGTTTAGGGGAATATTAATAATGAAGAATCTCAATAGGCTCAGAGCAAAGGAGGGCTGTGTTTAAAAAGGCCCCATCCGGTCTGGACTGCAAAGTGGACCCACTGCCCTATTTCCTTGGTTCCTAGAAAGCTAAGAGGGGTGTGGAATGTTGTGTTCAGAAACTCCTCATCTACAGTTCTGCATCTCAGTGTAAATCAAGGCCGTGGTAGGAGTTAGGAAAAGTAAGGGGCCAGCTGGAGAGTGATTGTTTGTTTCTTTCTGTGTTTATGTTTTAACAGTAATTTAGAGGCAGAATTGATAGAACTTGGTAATGCTGGGTGGGGAGTGAGGAAAAACTGAGTTGAGATTTGATACCTTCGTTTATGGCCCTGGTAACTGGCTAGACGATCATGTCTTTGGCTGATGTGGAATATGTACTGTTTAGGGAAGCAAGAGAGAGAAGGGAAGGCTGATCGCTCAGTTTTTGAATTTTGGGGGTTCTGATTGCTGTAAGAGTCTATAGCAGTGATTTTCAACCAGTGTGCCACAAGAGGACCTTAGGTGTTTTGCAAAAATTTATAAAGATTATTAATTAAATTATTTTCAAAAGAAGTTCAAAGCACAGTAAGTATTCTTTTTTTTACTCTTTTTTTTTGATCAACAGAATTTAAGTGTGCTGCAGAAGTTTAATTACAGGTCCGAGTGTGCTGTGAGATAAGAGGTTGAAAAACGCTGCTCTATAGTATAGAGCCGCAGGTAGTAGGATGTGTCAGTGTGGGGGTGCTGGAGGCTGGGGTTTCAACTGTGGCTAGAGAGGCCCAGGAGTCATTAGCATTGCTGGAGGAGGCCTGCAAAGTGAGAAGTGCACTGATCAAGAAGAGAACGCAGCCAGGTGCAGTGGCTCACCCTGTGACCCAGCACTTTGGGAAGCTAAGACATGAGGCTCTCTTGAGGCCAGTGTTTGAGACTAGCCTGGGCAACATAAGCAAGACTGCATCTCTACAAAAAATAAATAACTGGACAGGCATAGTGGCACGTATCTGTGTCCTAATTACTCAGGAGGCTGAGGTAGAATTGTTTGAGCCTAGGAATTCCAGGTTATAATGAGCTATGATCATGCAACTGCACTTCAGCCTGGGCAACACAGTGAGGTTCTGTCTCTTAAGAGACAGAGAGAGAGATCTCCCAGAAGATTTTCCTAAGGTTTCCAGGATGGTAGGATGAGCGCATCGTGAAGACTGCAAAAGAAAAGAGAGAGGTAGGATTCAAAGCAGAGAACTGCCACGACAGAGAAGCTGAGGGAAAGAGTTCCAAGGAATAGAAGGTGGTCAGTTATATCAAGTGCAGGAAACAGGCTCAGGAATGAACTGAATTGGCTTAACAGTTGGCAGGTGGGTGGTGACTTTTGCAAGGGTAGCTTTAGGGAAGAGAGTGGAGTAGAAGACTAAATTGTGTGCATTTAGGCAGTAATAAGTGGAAAAGTAAGCTCTACCTTACAGGAATCTGGGCTGAGAAGGGGATGAGACAGGACAGAAATGCATCAGGCTCAAGGGCTGATTTTAGCAAAAGGTGTTTCATGGTTTCACTTTTTCCAACCAGTTAGAATCAGGACCTCTGCTGTGTCTGGTGGATTTCATTAAAAATTTCACATTAAGCTGAGTCTTCTGTAGTCTTTCTGTGCTCATTTGAGCCCTTGATCTCTTTAATTCAGTCTACATCTTCCTTCCTCACACACACACACAAACACACACACACACACACACATATTTGATTCTGTCATAAAAAGGGCCACATAGACCCTTTTAGAAAAGATTCATCCTGGAACTGTGTACTCAGGAGGTATAGCTATGGCAGTACACAAAGCTGTGGGGAAAGACCAGATGAATCTTGAGCACAGAAGGGCTCAGCTGCATGGGTAGACAATATAAAGAAACCCTTCTGTTGGAAACATTTAAGAAAGAATGGAGCTTTTGAAATATAAAATCAATATTAATTTTTATTTGCGACCTGTGCATTAGGTAACACAGCTATGAAGACAGACATGGTTAGCACAAACCACTCAGGATAGCAAGGCCAGGGAAATCCTTTGGGTCACAGGAGCTCCCATCTTCACCTGGATAGCAGCCCCATGTCTTGGATGTTAAACTCTGTGGAAAGTGCAGGCTTGCAGGAGTTCTGTGGAGCAGAGCAGAGAGATAGGACATTCAGAGTCTTCCTATTTTTATTTATGAACTGTGAAATGAAAGAAAGTTAAGCACAATTCAAAGGTGCTGGGACCTGCTGACCTGCTCGTCTGTGATGTGGGGTGGGGCTGTTCTCCCAGTGTCCTTCTCCATTTGCCTGCACAGCCCCTGTGCCTATCCTGGGAGTTACCCACACCAAGGCTGTAACCAATTCCCTGCCCTACCTAGTCTCTTACTGACGGGGCTCACCACCTGAGTTCAACTGGCTGAAGGAAGGTTGCCCACCTCTTTAAGAGGTGAGGAACTGACATAGAAAAAGCACCTGGAATGTGTCAGTTTGGGGGTGGGGGTGGCTAGGGATGGAGCAGAGACCAGCAGAGCCAGATTGGCTCCCTTTATGGAGGACACAGGTTAGGTAAATATCAACTTGGTTCTCACGAAAAATTATCCCCATGTAATTCCAATGCTTACATCAGAATTACATGGGGGTAATTTTTAGTTGGTTTTTTTTTTTTTTTTTTTTTTGAGACAAGAGTCTCAGTGTGTCACCCTGGATAGAGTACTATGCGTCACAGCTCACAGCAAACTCGAACCCTTGGGCTTAAGTGATTCTCTAGCCTCAGCCTCCCAAGTAGCTAGGACTGCAGGCGCCTGCCACACACCTGGCTATTTTTGTTGTTGTTGTTGTAGCTGTCATTGTTGTTCAGCAGATTCTGGCCAGGTTCAAACCCACCAGCCCCAGTGTATGTGGCTGGCACCGTAATCACTGAGCTACAGGTACTGAGCTGGGGGTAACTTTTGGAATGCAGATACCTGACCTAGGACAGACTTGCTGAATCAGTATCTCCGCACCTGGAATGTGCATTTTTCATAAGGACCACGATGCACTTATCCACACACTGCTGCTGAAGATTAACCTTCTGACAGCAGGTATGATTCCCTCATGTCTTCCAAATGTTTTCAAGTTATGACTGACATGCTTATTCTGCAGAGGTGTGTTTTATTATTTCAATGCTTAGAAACTGGTGTTCCAGATGAGTAGTATGCCTGCCAACTTTATCATTTACAGAGCTAATCACTGTCGAAGCTTTTTAGAACAGCGCTTTCTGAAAGAACTTTTTGTGGTTATGGAAACATTCTCTTTCCTGATCAATATGGAGGCTCATGTGGCTGTTGAGCACTTGAAATGTGGTTAAATAAGACTAAGGAAATAAATTTTTAGTTTAGTTTAATCTTAATTAATTTAAATTCAAATAGCCACACCTTGCTGGTGGCTGCCATATTAGACCAAACAACCCTAACAAGAAGTTTGCTATAGAGTGGTGAACATGTGCACCTAAATCTCTTCATTTTCTTGGGAATAATATGGAATTCTCTGTGTCTAATAAGTTCGCTGCCTTCGTGCCTGAGCCTGCATCTCCCTTACCATCTGCCCACACCAGCCTATCACACAGGGGGCTTCGGGCTTCTCTCTCCATTTCATCTTGCCATGTGGTCATGTCCTGAAGCCCACAGTCTCCTTCTCCTTTTGTACCCACCACCCCAGAAGCCACCCCTACGTTTGGCCTGCCACTTCCCCTAAAAGTGAGTAGCCCTTCCCCTACTCACGTGAGGTTGAGCATTTTCTTAGGTTACCAACGGCCTTAACATATTCTTCTCCTAAGTATTTGTCATACTTGACACCATCTTGAATTTGGGCCAAACATCTAGTGTTATCTTTGAACAGAAGGTCCTTAGTATCAGACTGGAACATACAGAACTTCTTTGAGCAGTCAGGTGAAAAATATCCAAACTCGCCCTGTTGATGGACAGAAAGTGCATGAGGACCTGTGCCTGGAGCAGCTGGGGCAACAGGTGGGTCAGATGAGGGTGAAAGCTCTGAACTGGCTCTGGGGGAAAAAGGAAGCTACAGAGTATGCCAGGAATTTTCCACCTTTCTCGCCTGCTGTTCACCCACTCAGGGCTCCTACTCCGTGCTTTCAGGACAGCCTCAAATCTTCTGTAGGATCCCTGGTCCCACCTTCCTCTGAGAAATCCCTCCCACCCACTTGTCCACTCCCACCTTCTCTGATCTATCTCTTTTCTTCACTTCATTCCTCATGTCCCTTAGAAATAAGAGGACAATAATGCATCCCTTCTGATGTTATTGTCAAAGAGGATATTAAATGTGAGGCCTCCCAGAGGAGTGGTAGAGATATAGTGGTTAAAAGTTCACACTTGACTGCGTTTTGAATTCTATCTTGGACAAGCCACTTTACTTCTCCAGGCCATCTAAGGTTATAAGTGAAAGGGTAATTGGGAAAAGTTTTACTTCCCATATAGCAATTAGGAAATTGTTCGTTAAATGCTCATTATTGTCATCACGTGCCTTAAAAGACATGCTAAAAAGAACGTGCCTAAAAAGAAAAAGCTAATGGTAAATGAACAGGTGGGGAGCCATGCTTGAAAGGAAAGTGATGTTTATGTGTCGAGGAGCCTGTAGGATTAGAATACTCAGGCAGCCGCTCTCCCCATTAAGACTAGTCCTCAAGTGGTTATTCCCACCTCAGGATCTCCAAGGGTAGAGGTCCTGGGTTTTTCAGACTGTTGAGAACAGTTTTTAGTCTGCTAGACAAGAGATACAGAAATCCACTTTTCATGACATTGGATCAAAGAATGCTGGGAAACAGGGTCAGTCCTCTCCATTTTCATGAAGGACAGAAATGGGGCAAGTGAGAGTACCCTGAACAAGGTGAGGGAGAGCAAGAAGGCAGACTCCTGGTCCTGAGGAAATGTGGATGAGGCAGGAACTCATCTCCAGGGAGCCGGAGCTGGAACAGAGAGCCAGCAGAGCCAGGCTTGGGAGGTCCAGTTCCATAATGGCACATTTTCTATAGATGGCACACATTTTCTATAGATCAGTAATTTTCCTATGGCTTTTGGGTACATTTCTTCACTTAATTCTCATATTGACTAAGAAGGACATAAATTATTATTATTGCCATTTTATATATGAGGAAACTGAAGCACAGAGAGGTTAAGTAATTTACCTAAGATGGCATAGCTAGGAAGCTACTGAGTTGAAATTTGAACCCAGATACTCTAGTCCCAATTCTGGTTTTCAGAGAGAAAATGCTGGAATCAGAACCACACTTAGCTGTGAACTTTCCCAAATAATCCACACCCATCTAGGAAGAAAGGGTGGAGGCCTGATGGGTCTGTACCTCCTGGTGACGTAACGTCTGACGGACGCAAGCTGCCTTATCTTTCCGGGTGACCACGGCATGATTTGGGCCTCGGGCCAGGTGGCAGTTCTTAACCTCCCCCACAGACTTCCTGGTACCATCAAGGCACAGCAACTCAAATTCACTATCCTTCAGATCCTTAGCCCATGGCTCAGCATTTTTTCCTGGAAAGAGAAAGAAGGTGGGTCAGCCACAAGTGACGACATTGGCCAAGGTGTCCTCACTGGGGGTATGTGACTGACTCACTGGTGTGTGGAGGACCTGGGCTCTTTGGCCAGCAGAAGTGCCCATGCTGGACTTA